TGTCACGGGCTTACTTTTTCAAAGTAACGGCCGTGCGGCACTAGTACAAAACAACTAACGATCAAGTGCTAGCTCAGCCTTAAGACCCCCAAAGCGTGCAAAGCTAGGCAAGACCTTAAAGAACGGAGGCAAAGAAAAACTTAAGAAAGGTTGAAAGTGAAAGAATGATGAAGGCACAAGAGAGCTTAAGGAATGCTTGAGAACTCTACTCAAAGCTTGGATGGTTACAAATGAAAGGGGGCATGGGGTATTTATAGGCAAACCCCCCCAAGTCCTAAAGAATTCTAGAGAATTCTATGTACATAATAAAATAATGGGATTCTAGAGAATTCCTACAATAAAATATTCTAAGTTCAAAATATCTACAAGTCTCTAGAATCTTCCACACGGTTCTAGCAAACTCGGGTAGCTTCCATACGGTTCCACTCGTTTCTAGAGAGTTCCGGGCCTCTCTAGAAAATTCCAGAGTCTTCAAGATTTGACCGGAGAATTCCACAAGGCTCTAGACCGTTCCGTCCCATGTCCGTCTACGAAAATAGCCCGTTTCGCATCAAACCACCCGAATTCATGGTGAAGAAAAACTGTCCGTGACACCTGAACCGACCAATCCGATTAAATATTCGGGAAAATCAGGTCAAGGGCGTTTAAATCAAACAAAAACATCAAACAAAAAGGCTACACTTAAAGTAGGCCATTATTTTTTTACAGGATTTCAAGTCCTGATTCTTAATTCCCGAACTATCAACTATGAAATGGGAATCACAAGCTCACAAAACACAAATGCAAAAAAATGATAAAGAGAAGATTTCAAAAAAAAAAATCACAACACCAAATGGAATGGAAATATGAATATGTAATCCTGTAAAAGTCACAACTCAAATGATCACACAAATGAACACACAAGTGATCAATGATCATCTACTCAACTGATCAATTCATTGAACTCACAAATGATCAACTTCAAGTTCACAACACACAAATGATCACACATTAAAAAGGTCATTACAGTATTACACATCACAAAGTCTAGTAATCAAACTTGAATTCAGAAACATTCTAAACAGAAAGCATCAAAGCAGTATCAACAGAGATACAGAACAGAATTGCAGGCAACAGCAGTTCAGTCTTTAGTCTTTATTCTTCAACAGGCAACAACAACAGCAAACAGGCAACAGCAACATCATCACTCTTTATTCAGCAATAGCATCACAGTTGATCAGTTGATTCAGTACAACTTCAAGTCTTTAAGCAGGCAACAGCAACAGCAAACAGACATCAGGCAACACCAACAGCAACTTTCAGAAAAAAAAAAAAGAAAAAAAAGAAACAGTCAGTCAGTCAGCAAAATTGAAGAATGTGGAAGAAGAAAACCGAAGTAAAGTCTAGATTTTAGAACGTACCTATCACACTCCTGTTTTCTTTCCCTTTTCAGCAGCTGAAAAAAAAAAAAAGAACAGTCAGTCAACAATCAACATTGAACTGAAAATAAACAAATGATTTAAGATCATGAATGTATTTGAAATTTAAAACAAATGTAACATTCTTCCATGTGAAGGAGGTCTTCCAAATCTCTTCAACACCTTCTTCTTCTTCAACTTACCCCCGAAGCCAATCCTGAGTGCAAATCAAGCACTGAACAGTCTTCGGAGTTAAAGAACTCCTAAATGCATCCAATACCCTACCACTTGTACTAAAGCATGATTCCGAAGCCACAGTTAATACGGGAATGGCAAAAAGATCACGAATCATCAGAGAAAGGATATGAAACCTAGAGCTGTTCATCTTCCACCAGTTCAATAGATCAAAATTTGAACAATTTGGTTCATCATCCTCGTTCAAATACTTGTCCAATTCTGTTTTTTCATTTCTGTTTAAAGCCCCACCAGTTTCTTCAACTTTCTTTTTCGCCAACTCCATCTTAAACTGATCTCTAAGCAGCTTTGAAGGCTCGATATCAATCAGGAAAGGTCTTTTCCCCAATGAAGTTGCTTGAGATGAACTGGAATTAGAATTGGAAGGTGTACTAGAACTAGATTTAGGGGCATGGATACTAACATAATCCGCAAACAACTCATAAATGGCTTATTTAACAAAATCATGCTTATTCTTTCCATCAACTAACCCATAAACCTGTTGAAATACAACTTCAATGTATTTCAACTTATTTCTTGGATCAAAAACACATGCCATTAAAACAGCAAGATTCATCGACACTATAGAACCATAGTATTTATCAAACTTATCCTTCATCCTTTCAGCCATCAATTTTTGACTGTTATCATCAATTTCATTGATGATTCTCCTCAACAAAACATCAATACAATGTACATCAGTGAAGAAAGAATCTGAGGAGACAGATTTTGTACGAGTTAACTTCAAGGTTATCTCCTAAAAATGCTGAAAAATACCATCAATCCTCCTAACTTCTACCCAATCTATTGAAGTAGGTAGTCCAGGCATAGAATTCGGCACTTCAGGATCAAACCTCAAAGTGTCTTTAAAGTGCTGATTTCCAGTTTCATATCTCCTAAAAGCTCTTTCATACACTTGAGTAGTTTCTAGCAAATGTACTATTCCACCTTGTACAAACATCTAATACTAGATTCTTAGAGCTACCACATTTCTCAATTTCAGCACATTTTCTAAAACTTGCCAATCTTTTAGGAGACTGCATAATATACTTAACTGCGGCCCTAATCTTATCAACAGACTTGCCTATACCTGCAAAACCATCTTTAACAACCAGATTCATCACATGAGCCATACAACGAACATGCAACCATTTAGCACCCAATATACAGTTTTCTCGGTGAGCAAATTGCTCTTTCAAATACTCAATGGCAGAATCATTAGAAGAAGCATTATCAACAGTTATGGAAAACACATTTTCATTCTCAATTTCCCAATCCAGCAAATGATTCTCAATTGCAGCCTCGATATCTAAACCCTTATTACTTGTAATAGGCACGAAACTTAAAATTTTCTTTTTCAAAGTCCAATTATTATCCACATAATGCCCAGTCAAATACATATAATTTATTTGCTGCAAAGAAGTCCAAGTATACATTGTGAAACAGGTTCTACTAACATCCTTTCAACTCAACTTTCAGTTTTTTCCTCTCAGATAAATATAGTTTATAACATTTATCGGCCATTGATTTCCTACCCTTAGGCACAAACTGTGGCTGCAACTTCCTAAGAAAATATCTAAATCCTTTCTTGTCAACAAACTTAAACGGCAATTCATCAACAATTACCATGTAAATCATTGTCCTAATTATTTCACTTAATTATCAATAAAATACCATAAATTAGGGCTCCATCCTTACTATATACCCTAAGTTCAAATTGTCTTTATTTAATACCAGAAGTTGAATTCTCTCTTTTCCGTCCATGAAACGTTTAAAAGGAATACGGAGGCGTGCAAGTCACGTGACTTTTATATAAGGTTAACAGAGGGGCATTTTTGCCTTTTAATATCTTAACCCACCCAACACCGTGGTCACGTGCCCCGCCTGTGCCTCCCAAACATGTGGACCGTCTTTTTAAAAGCAACCCAAGACCTGATCCAAACCCAGCCACCAGATCCCCAACCTTTCTTTGAAACTCAGAAATCCCGCAAGTGAAGAAAAAAAAAATTCTTGAAAGCACTGGATCGATCTTTCGATTCCGGTAAACATAGGTAGAATCGAAAACAAACAAAACCCTAATTTTGTTCTTATCCTATTAGAAAATCAAGCCACCATCATTGTAATTGTTGCGCTTTGGCGGAATTGGGGTGGATCTGACAAGGAGCTGCAATCTGAATCCCCTCCCTCCATAGATTCCGGTCATGTCGTCCAGTAGCATATCGTTGAGAAATTTGATTTTGGAGAATGTTGTTTGCAGCAAGCGTAAGGGGGAGGCTTATGTGGTCCCGTCGAAGTCCAACGACAATCTTGGGCGGTTATATTATAGATGCCACAACCATGGGTTCCTGAAGTGGGTGGATCACACCCTTATTGAATCGAGTTCGGTGTCCCGTTATGCAAGAAGAAGGTTCGTGAATGCAGGTGATTTACATGGAGCTGTGTTGAATGGTGAAGGGGTAGACGATTATGGGGAAAAGGGTGGCACAAGACTGAAGAAGGGTTTGACAGAATGCAGCAAATGCAAGAGTACATTGGAGGCCCTTTTTTTAATTGTTGTTGTAGGGTCAATTATCAATTTGATGGTTCTCCTAATGGTGTTGGTTATTGTTTTTAGAAGGTAAACTAGTGTTTAATGTTTTAGATATTTGAAGGAGAATCTATTTGTCGATGTTGTTATTGTTGTAACTATAATCAGAATTATTTGTGTTTAGAATGTACTTGTTAGGTTTCTGTTAGTACAGTGAAATTGGTTGGTTGGGTCGTGTGTTTTTATCATCGAGTTTAGTTCTTAGCCAGTTGTGTGTTGTTATTGTCGAGTTTAGTCTTTAGCCGGTTGTGTGTTGTTGTCGTCAAGTTTAGTTCTTACGTTAATGAAAATCGTCGACTTTTGTTTGTTAAAATCGTTGACTACGTTTGTTATTGAAATTTGGATAATGAAATTCGCATTTGGTACTTCAAATCATCGACTATATGTTCTTGAATTTTGATGAATTGTACGAGTAAATCGGTTTATTAAATTTTTAAAGTTTCGTATTTCATCTAATTGGAGTAATCCAACTACATTAACTAATCGTTTCAACTCTTTGGTTTTGCTTTTATTGCGTTAATCATCTACCAAAAGTGTTGCACTGAATCAAAAGGCAAACTGTTTGGAGTATATGTAACCACTTACAAATGTACACAAAAGTGCATCTTCCCACATTACTTGAAAGAATTTTTTTTTTTTTTTTTGGTTAACAATACCAAGGGCTTTGAAATCTACAAATGCATCCGGCATTTCATTAGGGTTAAACCTGATTATGGCAATCAACATAGAATACTTAACCAAAATACTTAATTGTCCCAAATGCATCTGGCATTTCATTAGGTTTAAACCTGATTATGGCAAGCAACATGTCCAAAATAGAACCCATATTTAACAACCATCTCCATACGACAGTTTCGGAGAATAGAACTGCAAAATCCAAAATAGAATACTTAACCAAAATACTTAATTGTCCCAAGATCAACCATGCTTGATAGTGTACTAATACATAAAAAGAAAAAACTCAAGTGAAATGCCAAACGGCTTACGCTTTGGTAGATTTTGGCTTCTTTGTTTGTTTTGGGCACTCGACATCCAACACGACAGGCTCAGCCGCAGTCTCTCCAAGTCCATCATTCTTTTGCTTCAAAGCATGGGTAGCTTTCAGCCTGGCACTGCACCTTCTCTTAATGGGAGCACAAACGTTTTTGTTTGCCTTTTTTTCCTTCTTCATTGCGTTCGACACACCTGGTTCCTCAGATGAGAATATGACCTACCATGTAGACGGAACATATACATGAGTTCTTCAGCATTTGCACATAAATTAAATGGAAAAAGTACCAGAACAACCAATATGGCACTACAGTACCTGTGCAGTAACAGCTGCGGTTTGTCCCGTTTGGTGATGACCCAAATCACCCGCACCAGTTGCATGTTTCATTCGCCCCAGTTTCATAACAGATGCAAATCGCTCAGAACTTTTAACACCCTACAACAAGTGAAGTTTAGTCAATGCCTTTTTTCATAGTTGCACCAACATTAACAGCAAAACACTATATAAACTTCACTACTTTGTACCTGCGAAACTTCGAATGTATGTTGCAAGTTGTCAACATTTGGAGTGTCCTCCACAATTGGATCATTCTGCAGCAAATAGGAAGTTGGTTACGGTTAAAAAAAAAACAAAAATAAATCAAACTGTTGAAGAATAGTATTAAAGGAAGGTATGAAAATATAAACAAACCTGTGGCCGCCTGAGTTTGTTGATAATACCATGAATAGCAGCATGAAAATCACCGTCTAAGTTGGTGCAAACTGACCCACCAAGTCCCTCAATAGCAGCAGATTTGGACTTTTTTGGCAATCAGACTGAAAAAAAGGGAAAAAAAATTCAAAGCTCTAATTTGTAATCCTTATTTTTTCTTATGTATATGTTAAAAAAGAATAAACACCGACTATTTAAGGAATTTACCTCAAATTCTGGGCAATCCACTTTAGTGTGACCATATTGCGGGCAGTAATCACACTTGACAAAGTTCTGAGGACAATGGTCAGTATGATGGCCAAATGCATCGTGCCAACTACAGTGGGGGGTATTTGCGTCAAACTGTAGGAAATCATCTTCAAATTGACTTTCATCTGGAGCATTTGGTGTATCACCTGGAAGGCAAACAAATGAAACGTATTTATATATATATATGTATGTGTGTGTGTGTGTATAATATTAAACTGATATTGTAATAGAACACAAAGGGTGAAACATTGTTCACATCACCTCGTCAAGCAAAATGACATCATCTGCAGTTGTGTCATTTGTTGGTTCACTGTTTTCTGGTCCAATAGTTTGGCCAGCACCACCACGCTCCGTGTCCATGTTGTTATCTTGCATCCAATTACAAAAATCCATAACTTCGCATGTGTCGGCTGTGTGGCCATATTGATCACAACACTCGCAAAGTGGCGGTATTTCATCATGTGGCCTTCCAGCAGCCATGTTTGCTTCTGCATCTCTTATTTCCTGCAGTTGCAACAACAACACTGTCATCATCAAACTTGGAAAAACGTCACTGATCTCAAACATAGGTGTAAACCCTAACATAAAAAAAAAGGTTCAAAACACTAAGGATTGAAAAGAGTTGTTGCCCGTCTTGCCTCCGCTGCCTTATTTTTTTCCCTTCTCTTCTCTAACACTGGACAGATTGATACAAAGTGTCCTGTGACTTTGCAATATACACAGAAGGAGTTTGGTGTTGGTTTCGGACCCCTTCTCCTCTTTTGACCAACACGTGGTTCGGCATTGTTGGCAGTTATTTTAGCTTTCGGAGGCCTGCCTTTCTTTTTTGGCTGAGGTGGATCCACTGGTGCCTGTCACATCACCAACGAACAAATTAAAAAGAAAACTAAAGAAATTAAAACCAAATCTCTATTACTTTTCAAAACTTGAAAAAACCAACCTTCCTGCTGGCTTTTAGTGAACCCTTTTTGTTGGTCTTAAGAGTAACAGCAGCTTCTTTGTTTCTACTATGCTTTGGCCTTCCAGGTTGAACTTTGAAAAGTGGAGGCAAAATGGGAGGGTCTATTCGCTTTGGCCAGTACTTAGGCCCATTGATTAGATAGATTACGGGTTCATATCCCTTCAGGTACTTGTCCTTCTTATACCAATCACCCACATAGTTTCTACCACATCATTCTTATCCCAGATTGCATAGATTGCATGTGGACAAGGAAGACCTGTCAATTGCCATTTCCTATAGGAACATGTCCGATTATCTAGATATACACACACCTGTTCTAAATGATTCCTCACCTCATACTTCCCATTTCCAGCATATTCGCAGCTAAATCCTATGGCTTTATCCTTGTAGGTCTCCAACCTTTCAAAAATCTTTGGACCAATAACAACAAAGTTTTTCTTGATCCAGTCCCTCTTCTTCTTGTTCCTCTTTATCAGATACAGTCGTAGCCATTCAAACATACCAATAATGGGCAGCTTCTTACTTTTAATATGGCTCTATTAAAACCCTCACAAATTTTGTTGACCAGCATGTCACATTTAGTGCTAGTCTAAAAGTGGGCTCTTGACCAGGAACTAGGTTCTAATTCCTTCAACCCTGCCATGCACCTTCATTGTAATTCTTCAGTTCATCCATCAACCTATGAAACTCCATTTCTGTTGTGGCCTTGGCTATATCAAACATCTTTTGCTTCATCTCCAAACCAGGGAACTTCTTCTTGAAATTGTTCCACAAGTGTTGGACACAATGTCGATGTGATACTTTATTCAGCACTTGATTTACAGCATTCGTCAGTCCCTAACACATGCAAAGACAGCAAACTGAGTAAGTGCACACATTTACAAACAGACCAATATAATTAAAGACTGCATATTCTACAAAAGATAAGAGAAAAGTGCAACTTAATTAAACAAGATGAGCTATTACCTTTTGTCGGTCTGAAATGATAACCCATTCTAGGGAGTTTCGGATACCCAAATCTTCAACAAGCCAAGACAGAAACCATGTCCAGCTAGATTCATTTTCAGTCTCAACTGCTGCAAATGCTATTGAAAATATGTTGTTGTTTGCGTCGAAACCTACTACCGTCAGCAACTGCCCCTTACATTGAGTCTTCAAAAAGGTACCATCAACCCTGATGATTTTCCTACACCCTTCCTTGAACCCTTTCTTGCTGGCTGCATAACAAATATACATCCGCAGAAACCTATTGGGATCATCATCCTCACATATCACCTGAATTGAGGTCCCTGGGTTAGCCCTTATAACTTCTTCCATGTAGCACTCTAAATCTGCATATTGTTCTGTGATCTTCCCCCTAACCTTTTCAAGAGCTTTTCTCTTTGCATTCCATGCTTGTGTCCGAAAAATAGTCAGCCTATGCTCATTCAAAACCCTAACCTGCAGGTGACTCTTACTGATGTTAGGATCATCCGCAAAATTAGCGACATACCAATCTGAAACTATGTCTGAGTTCACATTTCTGCTGCTGTTGACTCTTCCACAGGTGTGCTTGGTGTTCACTGTCCTAATTTAAAATGTAGGATCATTTTCATCGTCAACTTTCACTCTATAAACCTCCCAATTGCAATTCTCACGGCATCCTCTGACAAACTTCTTATCATTTTTCTGAAAATTGATCTTTCTCCTTTCCTTTATTCTATGTTGTCTTAGAGCTGCCAATAAAATCCACTTGGTTGCAAATTGCTGATGCAGCTGAAATTTTGGGTTCCCCATGTCTTTCTCCGGGTCAAACACTAGGTTTTTCTGTTCATGGCATTCACTATCATTATCTTCATCACTTCCAGCTATGCTGTGCAGATCATCACAAGACCCACAATCATCATCACTCTCATTCTCCCCACTACCAGTTCCCACCCCAACATCCTCATGCCGTACAAACTCTGATTCACTTCTATATGAGCACCATGTAGTCGATTCCAGCCTTTCATCGACATATTTCCTAAAATCTTCATCATCTTCACTCATCTCAAATTCAGTATCAACATAGTCTTCATCTTCACTGTCCTCATCTTCATTACTATCCATCTCATTATCAACCCGGACACTCTTCATGAATGGATTAAACTCAGTTGAAGCTATCCTGAAAACTTCCACCAACCCGTGGGGAGTCTTCATCTCAATTAGTCTACCGATATCTTCATCATCTTCAATCCTTTTAAACTTGGGAGTGCCCACATCATCTGGCACAAGATAGAACAATTTATGTGACCTACAATACCCAGTCTTGTCAATTAGCTTATACAAAGCTTCAACTGTGAGCAACTCGTAATTCACGTCGTCAAAATACTCAGCCTTGCTCTCTACATATTTGTAACCACGCTAGAGAATGAAACCACCACTATGCCGCAATTTCACTGTTAACATCTTCGATCCATCAGCTGCAGCACCAAAAAAATAAACCAAATAAAAATTCCATATACGGTGTAATATACTATCTAGCAAACAAAAGGACTAAACCTAACCTAACTACATACAGAAATGAATTAACTTTATGCTGTTACAGCCTTCATATCAGATATTCAAAATTCAAATTTTAAATTCAAACTGCAATCTGACAGTCGGCTTTCACTGTTCAAAGTGACGTCATCGTACATGTCAAATCGTACATGTCACCTGATGACGTCGTAACAGGACTTTTTTCAAAATTCTGAATTTAAAAAGTCAAATATCCCCAGAATTGATTAAATCAGATATTCAAAATTTAAATTTCAAAATCAAAAGTTGACATCACTGTTCACAATGACGTCATCGTACTGTCGCCTTATGTCGTCATAATAGAAAGACTTCATTCCATTTTGTTTATTGATTCCCATAACCGATTTGTAATTAAACCCTAATACAAATGTATTAAAAAACACATGTTCTAAACAGATTCTCAAGAAAAGCCAAAAAACAAAAATTTTAAACAATAACACGGGAAGTTTCAGAAACCCAGGAACCATTTTTTTTTTCCTATGACATCCAGATCTCCATAAAAGGCACATGGATCCCATAAAACTTTTAATATAAAAATCAATCTGCACAGACGCGAAGGTTCTGAAACCTGATAAAAGAATTAGAGTGGGAATCGAAAAGACACACAACTCCCGTCAAGAACCTATAAAAAATAAATCCAAAATACTCAGATCTACCCAGATCTGCTGGGATCTACTCAGATGTATGAATAGAAAACTTACCATAGCCAGGAGCTTCATGTTCATATTCATCCGGAGGATTGAAGTCCACTTCTCTCCACATCCTAAGATGAACAAGCAAGCCAACTGAAACCTAAAACCTATTCAAGTCTCAAAAACCCTTTATTTTACCCACATTCGTTTTCCCTTTTTACCTTTTCGATTCGATACCCTGAACCCTAATTTCACCCCTCCCCCCTCTTTTTCTATGTAGTTTGATTCGAGAAGGAAAAAAAGAATAAGTGTTGGGAGTCAAAGGGGGTAATGAAATAAGTGTTACCCGGACTGTAGCTTAGTGGGTCCCACATGTTTGGGAGGCACGGGCGGGGCACGTGTCCACGGGGCTAGGTGGGTTAAGATGTTAAAAGGCAAAAATGCCCCTCTGTTAGCCTTATATAAAAGTCACGTGACTTGCACGCCTCTGTCTTCTTTTTAAACGTTTCATGGACGGAAAAAGAGAGAATTCAACTTCTGGTATTAAATAAAGATAATTTGAACTCAGAGTATACAATAAGGACGGAACCCCAACTTATGGTACTTTATTGATAATTAAGTGTAATTATTTCTTCTTCATTATACCTCCAAATACCTACACTTGAAGGTTTTCCTTCCCTAGTTTCAATAACTAACTTACTCTGACCAGGATCCTGGCTCAGAGGTAAGTACTTTTTACAAACCCATGTTTTTTACTATGAGTCATATAAGAATTACTACAGTACTTACAATCAGCCCATAAAACACCTTTAGAATCTTTATGAGTAGTGAAGTGAATCCATACCAGAGAGCGCTTACGAGTTACCCTGCGCTTTTTCGGAACAATAGCAGCTTGTGCTTCAGTCTCCCGATCCTCAATCTCTACATCTATCATCAATCTTTCATCATTGGACAAATCCAGCAAAGGAGGAGGCAGTGAACCAGAACCTTTCTCAACTTTAATTTCTTCAATCTCTTAACTCTCCTCAATATCCTCAAATTCATAATCTAGTTCTGACATCTATGCAGAAAAAAAGAGGAAAAAAAAGAATTTTAGTTACCTGAAATAGATTGCAGAATACACAACTGAATAATACTTTCAAGTTTCAAAACACTGAAACAGTAAGCCAAAAATACAGAAATTGTCAAAAAAAGCTTACCTTGAAGATGGCTTAACAGTATCAAACTTCAATTCTCACTTCTCAGTCCTGCATTAAAAGAAAACAAAAACAGACAATAATGAATCATATGGCCAATGAAAAACTAACAAGTCACTTCATTTTTATACAAACATCAACAATAATCAACATTCAACATTCAGTTCTTAGTCCTTACCTTAAATACAGTAACAATATCAAGCTTCAATTCTCAGTAAGTCAGTCCTTCACTTATAGAAAACAAACAATCCGCAAGGAATCACATCATAAACTTACCAAACAACACATGATATCTGATACATATATTGAATTAATCAATCCAATACACATTCAGGACAACAACCAGTTACACCACACCACATGAGAACACACAACAACTAAACAACACTTTCAAACTACTGAAACAACATTCAATCACCAGTTAACACTTAACATTCAATCATCAGTTTACAAATAACAGTTACAGTGAGTTATGCATTTTTCAGAAACAACAACAGTCACAACTCACAACTCAAAACTCAATCACTCACATTCAATCATCACTCACCAGTACCGGTTGGCAGTCACTACTACTAATCAATAATCATGCATATTTGCCAAGAAACAGTCAAACAAAAACTCAGAAAGATCAAAGATCAACAACTTGAAGCATAATTCATTAATTCCACTAAAAATAGTATCATAATCATCTCGATAGCTAGCAATTAACAACGAATAACTAAATTATTGAACAGTCAACACCCATTTATCAACAATAAGCAATTCAGGTGAACCACTGAACCCAAAAGAAACACAGTTCATTTTTAGGCAAACATGAAACATCAACCAGCAATAGCAACCAGTACCAACCAATAACAAAAAATTAGATAAAATTATTAGTTCTTAGTTCTTACCTTGAAGAGCAAAGACAGTAGCAACCAACATCCAGCAGTCTGTTCAGCTTCGGTGAGCTTCAGCAACCAGTAGCAGTTCCGGTGAGAAGCAGCGTTTCAGTTTACCCCTTTAAGGCTTTCACTCCACGAAAAAAAAAGCCCCAAAATTTTCGAAATCTGAAACTCAAAGTCTCAAACCCTAGATCTGTTTTAAGTTGGATTGGTCGATTTAATTGGTTGTGGAGGTGGAAAATAGGAGGAGGAGTCGTGGACGTAGATGAATTGAATCAAAATCGATTTTTAAAAAAAACCCAATTTGGGAACTATGAAACAGAAACCCTAGATTTGGTTTTGGGTTGGATTGGTGGTAAATTTGGTCGATTAACAGGGTTAGGAAGGTGGGAAATAAGAGGAGGAGTCGTGGAGGTGAATGTGGAGGTTGGAAATACTGGAGACAGTGGGTTACAGTCGACAGCGACGCGAAGAAGTCGCCAAGGGAGAAACGACGCGAAGAACATGGGGAAAAATGAAAATGGGGGAAAAATGGGGATTAGAGTTTGAGGGTTTGACCGGTCATACATATTTAATAAATAAAATAATAAAAAATTAAATTATTCGAGTCAATCAGATAGCCCCGAATACACTAAAGAAACTGACCCCGAACCGTATAACTAATCGGGTGGAACCGAAATTCTCCCAATTAATCGATTAGCCGACCCGAATTAGCCGAACGCATGTCGGGTCGGCCTGTTTGTCGGGTATGGTCAACTAATGAGCAACCCTAATGCGGCTTCCTTGTATTGGCTCATGGCGAGTCACGTGCCATACGTCACGGATATGGACTTGTTTTGTAATTTAGTGGCAGCCAAAATTTCTACACAAATTCCTGATTTTTTTTCTTTCGAGGGAAGAAAAAAATAAAAAGCACTAAAATTTGGAAGGCATATTCTTTGATGAACAATAATGCTAATTTTATTTTATTCCAAATGATGCATTGTTTCTCTATTACTTCATACGAATCATACCTATCTCCATAGCCTTATCGATTACACAAAATGTTCAAGTTCAACCACAAAGCACTAAATTTGGATTTAGTCTAGTGCACCGATATCAGGAAAAAAAAAAAAATCAGCCCTTACGTTCATAATTGCTCTCTGATAATGTATTTAATTTATTATTTATTTCTATCACTTCAAAATAAGTATTTTGTTGTATTTAAAACAAACATTATTTTAAAACTAGAATTGTGACAAATAGGGGAAAAAAAATTCCAATTTGCAACTTTTTTAGAGTTTATAGTTTACATGGGGGTTGGCAATATATATGTGGGTCCCCCCTCCCCCCTTTTGGCTTTATTATGATTTTTACCTTCTTCATGGTAGCATTACATTCTGTTTCTGGGGCGAAATCCATTTATTAAAGATTTTAAAAAAGTATACCTCAAATAATGTAAGAGAATCTCTTCTAACAATAAACTAGTTAACAAGCTAACTAATGCACACCAACGTTTCAATTTCAATCTATCTTCTGAATTGTAGAACGAAGTTGAAGTGATCTCTTAGTATTACCAATGAGTATAAATATTTTTAAATATTCGCTTTTTCATTGTGAGACCTCAAGTGATGTTGAGTTCAAGCGTCCACTAAATTTACTGCTTAATTTCTTTTGTAAATGATTTGTGACACTATATGAAATTATGTTTTAAAATAATAAATAATTTTTATTATTTTCCTCTATCTCTTACATTTAAGCATATAAAAAATTTGTATATGATTTCAAATTCCCAATTCTATATTAATGTGACATTTATAATATCTATAATAACAAATTTATAATTCTCTCCGTCGAAAAAAATATAACAATTTATTTTGTTGAACTAAATTAGTGCATTAAAATAAAAATATTGACGTGGAATGAAAAGAGTGTTAACATTAATTTGGCACATTTTATACGGTATTACACTAAGCAGCAAGCATAATATAATCTACCTTTTCGAATCGATATAAAAATACTAAGAACGACAAACCTACACAACATCCACCAAACCAAACATCTGATCGAATGCACCAAATTTGAAGTATTTGTCATGAACATATGGGGATTGTTCTTGGAATTAGTATACGATCTCAGTTGCTTTTTCTTTGCAAGATAACGACAACGATAGATTTATATATTAACATCTCCTCATCGCGATGGTACAATTTATTTCATATGAATTTTATTGTTTGACTTCATCAAATTCTCTTTTCTAGGGGTGGAGTTTAAAACTTCCTTTTTTCCCGCTAATAACTCGTGAAAAGATAATTAAACAAAATATAGAAAAAAAGAGAAGTTAAAGACTATATATCATCCATTCCAAGATGGTAGACAAAACCGATTTGTAGTCTACTACTATCAAAGGTTTTGGAATGTACCCACCTTTTTGAGTGAAGTCATTTTCACATTCATTATCAAAGAGAAGTTTCGTTCAAGTTCGACTTTAAACTTTAATATGGAATTTGTGTAACTCTGGAAATGGATCTAGATCATGCATGTTTCCACTCCCTTAGTTTCAAGGAATGGAATCGCGCCATAGTGATTATGGCGTTATACTTTTCACCGCAAGGCTAGAAGTTCAATTTCTATCGTAGATCGCGGGAAGTAGACAACTAGGAAAGGAAGTAAGTAACTGACCAACAGTCAGTTTAAGCAAGCAGCAGGTGTAAGTCTATTACCATCGGCCATAAAAGACCGAACATACTGAGCAAGAGGCACATGTGAGTTGAGTCTTTTTTCTAGTAATATTATCCCCTTTTTTAGTAAGTTCTCTCCCCATCGTAATAGTCTAGATATCTCTAAAGTATCAATAAGTGTGGTCTCAAGAAAAATAAAAGAAAATTTCAAATGCCCTTATTTTTTCTTTACAAAATTAATGAACAATTTCTTTATTTTTATCCAAAATATATGTAAAAGGAACACTTTAAAATGATTAGGTACAAGTATAAGAGTTCAATCCAAATTTAATTATTTGGTATGCGTGAAGTCTTTAACAAGCTTTTAGTTATTTCTTGTATTTATATAAGTTACAATTTTAATAAAGTGAAATTGCAAAATTTTTTTAAGGCCGGAAACAGTAATTAAGTTGGTTAGGAATGAGTTGCTTTCTTAGGAAACTAATATAGGCAAACGGCTTGATAAACACCATCAGGAACTAATATAGGCTAACTAACCCGATTTTCAAAAGGACAGAGAAATGAAACTTTGAATCCAGATTTGCGGTTTCACGCATCTTGTTCTATTATTTTTTGTTTTCTTTCGTTGAAAATAATTTTACTTGTAATACAAAATTACTATTGATTCCGAATTTATATTTCATCGGCACTCATATGCTATTATTTCTAGTGCTCATTATAAGGTATTATTATTTTTCCTAAATTTGATTTATCGTGTTATTTTAATTTAAAACAAAACCTTGAACATACTTTGTGATACTTGGGAGAGCACAATAAATATGAAAATATATTTTTTAAAAATTTTATTTTGAATTAGAAAAACACGATAAATGATACTTAAAAAAAATTAAAATATCTTTTGACAAGAACCGGAGAGTATATTTTTTGAAAGAGTAATGATTGGTACAAGAAAAAATGATAAGAAAAAATTATAAGGAAATAATCTCACACATCCATTCTTAAAACTTTTCAAACACGATTTATGCATTTAATGTTAGGATATAATTAAGATTTTGACACATTATTCTTTGTCATTTTTCCTTGTTATTTTTTCCTTGTACCTATCACTATTCTTTTTGAAAATGTACACAGGCCTCATGCGAAAAGCTCATGTAACTAATTTTTTTTTAGAAAAAAACATATATAAATGGTGATTTTATGAGGGGGAAAAAAAGTTCTACAGTTTTATAGGACGATTTAACTCGTTTGATAGGTGTCATTTCGTTTTCCTCTGAAAAACTACAAATCAGACCCAAAGCTATATCTAGTTAACCTTCTTAGCAACTTAACAGGACTTAGGCTCTGTTTGATAATCACTTAATATATTGACTTAATTTATTTAAGTACTTAATGAAATTAAGTCTGTTTGATAATTTTAACAAAAAAGTCTTAATGAATTAAGTTCTGAACTAATTAAGTACTTATAAATTAAGTGCATTTGATAACTAAAATTTCACTGTCTGAATTAATTAAGTACGTCTGAATGGTTAGTTCAATTGTGAGCTAGAAAATAAGTGATAGGCCTATCACTTATCACTTAACACTTAATTTCTGTAATGACTCTTTTTTCTCCCTTTTTTTTTACCTCATCTTTATTTCGACGCCTACTTTTACATTGGTTTAAAATTTTTAATTTCTTAAGATAAATTAATTAGGAGTGCCTACATTTGAATTTATATTATGAGTATAAAAAATCTCAAACTTTCAAACTCAAATTAAACTAATTTTAATACATAAAATTTGCTAAATAACAAGGTATACATATATATATATATCGATATATGTAAATAATATAAATTTAATTATATATTGATTATTTACCAACTGTAATATCTAATTTCATTATATGTACTAAAAAATTATTTTAAAATTATTATTTTATTATTTAGAACAAAATATTAGTTATTTGTATTTAAAAGAATTTTGTTTATAATTCAATTTTAATGATATTAAAAATTTAAATAACTTTCAGACCTGATTATTCAGATTCAGTTTTCAGACTTCAGACTTCAGTCTTCAGACATTAAATTCAGACATTTTTATCATACAATATAAATTCAGTCTTCAGATTTCAGACTTCAGTATTAAGAGTTAAGTGTTCAGATTCAGATTTAAGTGATTATCAAACGGAGTCTTAGTAGTAGATTTTTTTTTTTACTGGAATGTATATTTCTGAAATTGAATGAAATAGAAATGAAACGAATTGTTAACATCATTCATTTTTTTAATTTATTTTTAATATCCATATATATTCATGTTTTCAAACACAAACCGGATCACGTACGGGTAAACACTAAACACTACAAGAATGAGAAACATCCTGTAAATTGGTCAAAGTCAGACCAAATCCGATTCGCCACCTTTAGTATCACTGTGCACTAGTGCACTGTGGTGCGGAATTCAAATTTCAAAGGTATTATTTCTTGCTGGGTGGACTTGGATTCAAAGAATATGGCCATTGATGACCAAATAAAGTGACCAACAAATGTTACAAAAAGTGCAAATTAAGTTGACTACAGGGCCACCAGAGTTCACGATGAAATGCCCTTTCCCAATTTCAAACACCATATTAAATTTTAGGTTTTTATACTTTCTCTATCTCGAAATTATTGTCGAATTTAGATTATTACTTTTAGTTCAATTAAACAATGATTCAAACTGAACAATAATTTTATAACATGAAAAGTATCACATAACTGGCTTGCGACCAATTCACATTTAAGTCAGAATAACTTTCTTTCAACAGTAAGCTAGAAATCAAATCTTAATTATAATTGTGAATTTATTTCAAAATGGAAAAGCAAGAAAACGACCTATTTGGGGAAAAGAAGAATGAATGGTTGTTTGTTGGTTACGAGTTATGATGGAAAATTGTTATCACCACGAAATTCATAAGTTGATTCTCATTAATGCAATTCAATTGAAAGAAAAAAAAAAAAGGAAAAATGAAAAGTAACCTATGGAAGCATAAAAGTGAAAAATGCCTCCTTCATGTTACTCTTAGAAGAGAAATGGTGCTTTAGAGGTATTTAGGCTATTAACATATCATGGTTTGTAGTATAATTGTCACGACTCACTGTATGCTTATTTTACGTCGTGACAATTATTAAGTAAAAATTTTCACTATGTAAAACAATACATCTACTCCTTGTATCTCATTTATATGTTTTAAAATTATTGTCCAGTTTAAATTTTCACTTTTATTTGTATTAAAAATGAAAATCCAAACTGAATAAAAATTTTGGAACGAATGGAAAATATTTTATTGATCAACAAATTGTACTAACACATCACGATGTAAAAAGGGCATTACAAATTGTAGAAAAACCATGCACTACTTTCTTGTAATAACCTAGATCACTACTTTACCGGTTTATCCCATGAATCTTAACTCTATCCAAAACTTTACTATGGTCCATGAAGGAGTTCGATTCTTGAGCCAAATGTAGAGAGGAATATATCTTGGTTTGTCGATGTGGAATCAACTTTTATTAGTGATTCCATTAGTGTTTCAATTGATGCACTCGAGAAAAAATGGTTTGCATACTGGTTGGAGTCCCATTCTTGAGGTATGAGATTCCATCTCTCCATTAGTGACATCTTTCACCCTGAATAAAATAAAATGGTCGAATAGATAATTAATTGGACAATATAGGTTGATCACTCAACACGAACAAGTAAGAAGTTTTGAATTTGGGACGTTGAGCACTGCCCATATTGAACTTAAATAATGATAAGTATTGGAAAAATTTTACAAAGAAATGTGACAGGAAATAATCACATCCATTCATTTTTAATAGTTTTTATTCGAGATTTATGTATTTAAGATCAATAATATAGTTAAATGATTGTCAAATAATTACTTATAAATTTTTTCTGTAATTTTCCATATATATGTATATATATACATATAGCACGACTCGTCAAAGTTCTCTTAAATAGAAAGAGTATAGTCAAAGAACAATTTAAAACAATTTGAAATAATTTATATTTCGAAATATTTCCCATACTTATAACAACTTATATTCTGAAATAAGGAGGGTACAGTCAAAGAATTTAGCTTCGATAAATTTGACCTTAATAATTCAACAACCAACCAATTTATCTTAGAATCATACTATGTAGTGAGATACTATTATTAACGACTATAATTAAATGTTTAAATAATTTAAATGAAAAAAGGACCATAGCTTTATGCTAATTTAATAATACGAAAAAGTATATCCTAGCAACCATTTCTTTTTTTCCTCCTTTTCTCCTCACCCTTTCTTTTCTTTTCCATTGCGCGCCTCATTTGGTGGCCCTCCTTCCTCCTCCTCTTCCACCTCCCTCCATTCCTCTGCTACAAACAAATTAATCCCAAATAATTCCAATTCCAATTCCAAATTCCGCCAGTTTTGAAATCATTAACCTTAAACCAGTTTAAAAAACCCACCTTAAAAACACCAAATCACGTAATCATTGGCCCTGTTTTCTTTTTCCTCTCTGTAGGTTACTGTTCTTGAAACGCATACTTTTGAAGTTTCGGGCTGCTGAATCTCAATAGCGCTAGATAGGAATCGATGGAGACTTCAGGTATAGCTTTGAGAGCTTCGTCTTCAAAATTCTTCGCGAATTCTCTGAACCCTTTGAATTCCATCCCTAGAAATCCACAGCCCTGTTTTTCTTTCTTGAAATCCGCCACCTTCATCAAATGCATTCAGACTTCTTCCAACATGGACCCCAATTCTGGTTCATCTTTGAAACCTACCTCGGATGGGAAGAAAATCCCATCTTTTTCTTGTTCTGCAGTGACTTCTTTCCCTTCTCATCAGCAGCAGTCGGATGTCGCATCTATTGATACGAGGAAGAAGAAGCTTCAAAATCTGATTTCTGAAATTCAGGCCCTTAAAGAGCCAATGGATCGTGTTAAGCTGGTCGTGAATTTTGCTTCTCAATGTCCTCCTATGGAAAAATCATTAAAAACAGCCGAAAACCGGGTGCCGGGTTGCACAGCCCAGGTTTGGTTACATGTGACTGTGGATAATGATCTTAGGATGAGGTTTTTAGCTGATAGTGACTCTGAAATTACTAAAGGATTGTGTGCTTGTTTGATTTCGGTTCTGGACGGCGCCACAGCTGAGGAAGTCTTGGAGTTGAAAACCGAGGATTTAGGAGGTTTGAGTGTGGCTGGATTCTATGGGAAAACTGCCTCTAGAGCCAATACTTGGCATAATGTGTTGTTGAGTATGCAGAAGAGGACTAAGGCTTTGGTTGCTGAGCGTGAAGGCAGGCCTCGTAGTGAGGCATTTCCATCCCTTGTTATCAGTTCTGATGGGATTGAAGCGAAAGGAAGCTATGCTCTTGCTCAGGTGGACTACTCTTTCTTTAAAACTGATGATTATGAAGTTGAATAGTTTTTTGTTGCTAGTTTTCATATTAACTAATACCTGGAGCTTTAGAAATACTAGAAAGTGTAGTTTTTGGTTTTGCTTGCATGCATCTTTTCCCAACTCCAAATAGTTTACAGAGTAGTGGGAAGATCGATTTTGTGGTAAGTTCAGTCGGGTAGTTCTATTCCTGGATTTTCAATAAGAAAATATCTCTCTCAGGTTGTTTATTTAGGGGAAGAGAATTGTACGGAATTGTAGCAATCAATCAGTGTTGAAAAAGGAATTTTGGACTGGATCTTAGGTTTGAGGTTACTCAACTAAGTTCAACCCATGTGTAGTGGTACCAATGGTTGTTTTCTCTGAACTTACTGGAATGAAGCTGGACTATCTGCAAGTTAGAATTTTGACAATGTGAATGACAAAAGCTTGGCTTCAATTCAAATGAAAAAAACCATGTTATACTAGCCTTGTGACTGCTCTTTCCATTCCGCTGGAGCTCATTGATGACATGAGTACATCTTGATTAGAAAATTGTCTTTAGCCCACAACATTGTTTTGTTATGCTAGTAAGAGAGTCCAGATTTCCTCTAAAGTTATTTTCAATTGCAACCATGTTGTTGTTATAGATTCATCTTTTCATAAGCAAGCAGTTCGAAGAAGTAGATTTTGCCCCAAGTTAGGAGTTGAAAAGTGAATTCTGCTTCAGGAGGTCATGTGATATGCTGTAAGAGTTTTTTCATTTTCTCATAGTTGATAAATGAATTACTGAAGCAGATGGCTTTAAGACGATTAAGAAAAGTCTAGTCTTCAAGTGTAATCTGGTGATTGAAATCTTTTCATCCATGAAAATTAGAGCATAGACAGCTTGTCTTATGTGCCACTTTTCGTGAGCTTCATCACCTTCAACGGAGATTTATTTTTCACATCTCCAAGGCTTGTTTCTTTTTTCCCCTTTTTTAACATTCACTCCAAACTCATTATTATTCAGAATTCATATGCAGTATTAATGGGAAGAAAAGGAAAGAAAAGAAAAAGCTGGCCTTTTCGACTAGTTACCTAGATCTGGATTTGAACTTTTAGGAATTTTAACATTGGTAACATACTGATTAATTTATACTGTATGAAATCAACAAAGTTCTGTATTGTTCATTACTTAATATGTGTGCTCTCAGCCTTGTAGAAGCCTAAGTGTGACTATAGTCTAAATGCAGGCTATGTTTTTATCACCTGAAGAGTCAAAAGTTCAAGAAATTGCCAATTTGCTCAAGGAAAAGAAAATTGGTGTTGTTGCACACTTTTACATGGACCCTGAAGTCCAAGGTGTTCTCACTGCTGCTCAGAAGCTGTGGCCTCACATCCATATATCTGATTCCTTGGTAATGGCCGATTCAGCTGTCAATATGGCGAAAGCTGGATGCAAATTTATTACTGTGCTTGGTGTAGACTTTATGTCCGAGAATGTTCGTGCAATCCTTGATCAGGCTGGATTTTCAGAGGTATTATCTTTGTTGGAGTTCTCCCTTTGCATTGACTTTACTTGTCCATTGCTGTTTAGCAAACGTGTAAGGCTACACTATTGTTGAAGTCAGTTCAGTTCCTTTGGGATAGTTTCTATGATTTCTTTCATTTCAAGTTAACATGCAACATAATTACTTGTGGTAATCGGAAAAGCTTAAGAAAACAAAAAAGAAATCATTAATTTTTGAATTCAATTCGACCAGTGTGATTTATTCATTGTATAATCTTACAGTTCAAATGATATCTTGATTATGAACAAGAACTATAAACTGCATATTCGTATTTTCAAGTTCTCGCAGAATCTATCATGGACTTTGCATTTCGCAAATTTACCTGTGTGTATTAATTCAGGTTGTGTCTGAATGTAGCTTTTCTTAGCTTGAATTTCCCTTTGACTCAGAACTTGTATCAGGCACAGTCTTTTGTCTCCAATGACAAATATAACTAGAAAATGACACCTGAGTTTTCTGTCTTGAGCTGTGGTTGTTGTAATATATTAATAAATTGCAAAAAAATTATCTGATGGTAATTACAATCATGACATCTCCAAAATAGAGAAGCAAAGAGGATATCATGGATGTTTGCCAACATTTCAGATATTTCTCAATGAATTGTCTCAACTCCCTGGCCTTAATTAAGCTGGGGCAAGGGTCTATTTGTTTAAGTTTGCTTTATATTAAAAAAGTATCAGGTCATCTTTGTAGACATCTCTGGAGCAACTGTTCATGGTCACCATACTGAAATCCTTTACAGAGGATAGTAGATGAGGCCCTGTTTTAAGAAGTTAATGGTCACCACTAATTCTACTGACTACTGCAGATATATTGATTAACTTTTGCCTGTCAGCAGAGATTGAGATTTATCATCGTGTAATGAAATCAATAATTGTGCTGATTAAATTTGTGTTTCTGAAAATTACAATAGGACTTGATCTCTTCTTATGGTTTGAGTTGAGTTGAAGAAATTGTGGAGTGGAGAAAAACTGCTTGCAATGTTGTGCTAAAACATTTAAAACGCTTGCTGGAACTGTTGACTGATAAACAGATAATGTAGTGTTCTGAGTTTGAACAGTTATTATAAGTGTTAGTCATGTAGTGTGCCTCATGGTTGCACGCTATTCTCCTGTCCAAAATGTACGACTTGATATAGGAATTTAGAACACAGAAACATTGGACATTGGTAAGACGCTGGTAGTCCTGTTGATATAGATTTCAAATTTCTAGTATGAAGGACAGATCCAATTGCTTTTTAGCTTTTTGCGTTGATGATTTTGAATTACCATTGTATTTTTGGTTTATTGCTTCAAGATAGTTGAAAACTTCATCATAATTGTAAGTAGAAGGTACCAAGACGCTTGTTTAATCTGGGGTGAATGATGAGATTGAACCTATCATTTCTTGTTACAGGTTGGAGTTTACCGGATGTCAGATGAAAGGATTGGTTGCTCATTGGCTGATGCTGCATCTAGTCCCGCATATATGGATTATCTTTCTGCCGCTTCCTGTTCTTCTCCGTCTCTCCATGTGGTTTACATAAACACTTCTCTGGAGACAAAAGCATATTCTCATGAACTTGTGCCCACAATAACTTGTACCTCTTCTAATGTTGTTCAAACAGTATTACAGGTCTAACAGTTCTCAATCGCAAGTTCTTTTTAATACTATTTCATTTTGGTTTTCTGGTTTCCTTCCTAAAACTTAACTACTTCTCTTCTATTTGTTATGTTTATATCTGCATGTGTGTAGCTGTTTCGGCTTATGCTCATTTTAATTACTATGTAGGCATTTGCTGAGGTGCCTAAATTGAACGTATGGTATGGTCCCGATTCCTACATGGGTGCGAATATTGCAGAACTCTTCCGTCAAATGACTACAATGACTGATGAAGAAATTGCTGCAGTTCATCCAAAACATAATAGAAGCACAATCAAATCTTTGTTGCCTCGCCTTCATTATTTTCAGGTGACCATTGTTTTTAATTTTTTTTTTCTTTTTTTTTTCTTTTCCATTTTGGGATGTGATGTTGGGTTGGTAAAATTGCTATTGAAAGGATTACACAATTATTATCTATTTCATGTCTGGTGACTCGTTTGCACATGATAGTACTCTATTTCTCTATCTATACAGAATGAAAGTCAAGTTCAATGCATGAGCAGTCTTGTTTCACAACTTGATTTATTTTGACACGTGTATCTTTTCTAAACCAGGATGGAACATGCATCGTTCACCACCTCTTTGGACATGAAGTCGTTCAGAAGATAAATGAATTATATTGTGATGCATTCTTGACAGCTCACTTTGAGGTCCCCGGTGAGATGTTCTCCCTCGCAATGGAAGCTCAGAGACGGGGGATGGGAGTTGTAGGCTCCACCAAGAATATATTGGATTTTATTACGCAAAGGTTGCAAGAAGCATTAGAAAGAAACAAAGATGACCACCTTCAGTTTGTATTGGGTACAGAATCTGGTATGGTGACTTCAATTGTTGCTGCAGTCCGTGAATTATTAGGTTCAGTATCTTCCTCATCTTCTGGAAATGCAAAGATTAGTGTTGAGATCATCTTTCCAGTATCGTCAGATTCAGTCACAACACAAACTAGCTCATCGCCTGGCAAAGGCTCAGGCGATTTTGGGAGTTTGACGGGACTTTCTGTTATACCCGGTGTTACAAGTGGTGAAGGATGTTCAATTCACGGTGGCTGTGCCTCTTGCCCATATATGAAGGTTGGCATCCTAGTATCATTTTTTTCTTTATTTGATTTTTGCACCTCTGCCAGTTCCTTGCGTTCGTTTTTTAAGTGATTGCTGAAATTTTTTTCTTGCTTCTTTTCATAACATTCTTCTAATAGATCAATAAAATGATTAAATAGTATCCCATTCTGGATTTTAACTTTAATGACTTCAGTTTTAAAATTTGCTCCTTCACGTCCTTCTGGATTCTGCCTTCTGTGCTCCATTTGAAGTCTTACTGACTTTAATTTTAGCTTTACCAAAAGTTTCTTTTTTCTGTTTTGCCGTGAAGATGTGTTCTTAATCTGGGATCCCTTTTTCTTCTTCCCTAATGATAATACATCTAATTGTGCTCCTTAATCTGTGCAGATGAATTCTCTTAACTCACTTCTTAAAGTTTGCCATAGTCTGCCCAACAATAAAAGCAATCTTTTAGCCTACGAAGCTGGTCGTTTCAGTTTGAAAACCCCGAATGGAAAATTGATTGCAGATGTTGGTTGTGAGCCAATTCTCCATATGAGACACTTTCAGGTCAAATTCAGTTGATCATCTTTCATTAATCTTGCTAGTGACGTATCTGATATCAAACCGGCAACATTGATTCTCTCTACTTGCAGGCTACAAAAACTTTACCGGAGAAATTAATTCATCAAATCTGTCATCCTAATCAATAAAGAATCGGCACAAAAATACGAGCTGAATCACTGGTATGATGGATGCTAGAAGAAGCAAGAAATATCATCTATCTGCAACTTCTGGATGTTCTAGTGCAGATGGGAATGAGTCAATGAAAGCTTTCCTGGCGATAAATTTTGTCTGTAGGTTTTCTAATACAGAATTTGTGTTGTATACCAGGTATTTTCTCTTTTTATCACGTCCCCTTAAATTTAAGTTTGATGAACAGATTTCATCATTAGGTTTTGTAGTGATTTTACAGGTTAATTTTGCAAACAATATATTTGATCGCACACTCTATAGTCGCAGACTTTCAGTTTTAATTGCTGTATGAGGTTATAAGAGCAAGAACTAGTCTAAATGAGAGTTTGTGTAATTTGTTGTGGGATCTTTGTTCGTTAACTTGATTCTTTTAGTCAAGTGAAATCCGCAAGTGAATAGTGAAGTATACATGTTCCTCCATTTTGCCAGCGTTATAATTTTTGATTAATGAGAGAATCAGTTACAGAATGTACATAAGCAATCTCTGCTTGTTTTTCCTCCACATATTAAGTTACAAAATTTTCTTCAAGTAGTTAGACTAACTTACTAGTACGAACTTGACTTAATAACTCCTACTGAATTGAGAAGTTAGATCAATAAAGATGTCTTCTCTGCAAGGGATTGTCAAGCCTCCGGTTGGATGATCGTAACCGAATTCTTCCTCAGCTTGGCTCAGCAATTCCTGGAAGGAGGGTTGGTTCAAGTAAGCAATGGGGATCACATATCTTTTCCTCTCGTCATCACTTTCCCCAACATAAACCGCGCAATACCCCTTTGGAACATCAAATGGAGAAGCATTTCTTGAAGTGAAGGAATTAGCCCGCTTCAAGAGTTGCTTAGCTTGAGTAACACGAGAAAAGCGGATCGCCATTTTTACGAAAGATGATGAACTTTTTTAAACTGGGATGAATGGGAAAGAATTAAGAAAAGTAGTTGAAGGATGAAATATGTGTTGAAGAACTTGTGTGTGTCGAACTAGTAAGAAGAGAGGATTATATAGATAGCACATGGATATCAGAGTTTGGTACAATATAGCTATCTTGATGAGGCTGGATAACATGGTTTTGCCTTCCCAACTAAAAAAAAATTAAATAAGAAAAATGAAGCTTGTCTCCTATGTTGGTCCGATTGTGTCTGAATTATTTTGGCTGCCATGGCCACCAACCTCAAGTTAAATTAATACTCCCTCCGTCCTAGTTAATGGTACACCTATTTCGTTGAACCAAAACAGTACAAGACTATTAAAATGGGACGGAAATAGTATTTGAAGTTTTATGGTAGGCTTCTCATAGCTAGACAGAGGAGGTCAGATGGATTAGTAGGTTACAAAGTCACTTGACAAATAGCTGTTCATGTCTGTTTTATGGCAATACGATCCGAAATGTATCATTCCTGTTGGTTGATGGTTAACACATTGAGCAAAATTACACAAGAAATGTTGGGTAGTTGATGCATTGTTATCATCTCTGTATTGATTGATGCTTTTCAAAACCACATATATATGCAGCTGGACAAACATCTCCATTAATGAAAAACTGGTCCCATCATTTTCGTACTTCTTAATAGAGAGTCTCATGGAGCTTTAAGAAAAAAGAGAGACCGATTGAATGATTTCTTACCTTCAGTCAAGAAGAGTAAGAGTTTTAGGAGCAGGGCAAAAGAATTAAGGATGAACAAGTCTGTGGATAATTGGACTTTTTGATCACCTCCATCATATCATTACACATTTTTGATAATTAATCTTCACTTAAAACAAATACTACTGATGCATTCGATTAATCTGGCTCACGAGTCCTTTTGATTATGCACCGGTAAGCGCTTCGCTGCAGCCAAGGAACCATAATGTGACATTGCTGTTAAAAGGAAACTCGAAAATACCAGGGCTTTTTAAGTTTCCTTTGAGATCAACAATCTGTTAAACATTGTGATCCTGTACAGTCTGCATTTCTTTAAGTGGAGAAGTATTCAGGTGAAGAAAATGCATGATATAAGTCACTGCACGATCTTCAACGAGACTTAACCGAATCACGTTTCCGGTTCACGTTTTGCAGCATAACACAAACATATTAATTGGACAAAAAAAAGATGTTTTTGACATAGAAATGCAATGCAAATTAAGAAGCTTTTTTAACTATAAAGTTATAAATTGGACTCTGCATCAGAGGAACAGAATTGTATATACATCAGTCAGTATTTTTCTTAGTTTTTTCCACAATCTAAGTTACAAAATTTTGATTCACAACATATTGTGAGTTACAGGGAACTAATTCTAACATTTTCCATCTCCACATACTAACTTGCCTTTACTCTCAAATGCGAAGTTAGATCAATGAACATTTCTTCACTGCAGGGGATTGTCAAACCTCCCATTGGATGATCATAACCAAATTCTTCTTCAGCCTGAATTAACAATTCCTGAAATGATGGCTGGTTCAGGTATGCAATCGGGATCACGTATCTTTTCTTCTCATCACTTTCTCCAACATAAACTGCACAGTATCCCTTTGGAACATCTGCAGCAGCAGCATTGTCAGACCGAAAAGAATTAGCCCGCTTCAGTAGTTGCTTAGCTTGTACTATACGAGGCAAACGGATCGCCATTTCTCTATAAAACAAGTACAAATAAGTTGATTTTACTAGAAATGAAGCTGAAAAATTTGTTGGATTTCTTGTGGTTTGTTTGTGAAACTAGTAGTGATAAGGAACGCTTTATATAGAAGGAGAAGTCACTAGTTAGATATCCTCCGATGCAAAGGGCAATCGATCAGATAGCTTTCTCTGATAAGCCCTACATGACAACGATCACATGGTTCTGTCTTTCCAACTAATAATCAAGCATTTTAGGACCATGAATTTAGTAGATGAGATGACGTACGGCCTACCATTTTCCTCAACCAAAAGCAAATCGACCCCTCTTTCATATTCAAAGTGTAACTACTTGGGGAAATCTCTAAGCGAAATGAAATCTGTTGGCCTAAAGATGGATCTTTTCAAACCGCCTGTTTGGTCACTCATCACAAAGACTTTATACTTGGAAATGGTGGGGCAAATGTGTTTGTGTGCTTGGGATTAGGCAAAACAAAACCATGTTACCAGGGTCATCAGCTTTTTTCCGCAATTGACAAGTTGCTAGCACTAGCATTGTTTTCAATCTCTTAGTCATCCCAAGTGTCTGCGACTAAGCAATTCAAGGGTCTTGCCTCTTGCAAATTGTCGGTTGCTATACGCAACAAGTTGATTAATAAATGTGTTATCAGTAAAACTGATTCCGAATTGACTTTACATGTCATTTTTCACCAAAGAATGTTCAAGTTTAGGTAGTTCTGGTCAGCAGATCTGATTAAATGAGAACGAAAAACCAAAAAAAATTAAATTTCAACTTAAATCAAGATTTGATGAAGGATTATATAAATGCATGGTTGTCAAATTTGTTGTACTGTAAAGCTTGTGGTTTATAGATAGTGAATAATGAAGCTGTTGCTTTCTGCGATAAGTTAGCGCAAACTACCACCTAGAAGTCGCTTATATCATGAATACATTGTAGCTTGGCTATCATCTTCAGCAGGGCAATCATATCAGAATAGTTGATGCATTTGTTAAGGAATGGAGGATATCGATCTTCAATGAAACTTGACTAGTTTCCAAATTAACATTTTTTAACGGCCACATTATGCAGAAACATGTCAATCACGGCAATGTTTTGGATTTTTTACGAGGAATTTTTAGCACGGCAAGAATGGAACTGGAGCAAAAGTAAGAAGCTTTAACATTTGAAGTAGTTGTGAATTGAGCTATATTTATCAAGGGAAGAGTAAGAATGGCCTTTATGTACATAATCAATAACCTGCTTGTGTCTTCCCCTACTTTTATCTAAGTTACAAAATTTTGATTCACTGTATATCCTGACAACTAACATGCCTTTCTATGCAAAATGAGAAGTTAGATCAATGAATGTTTCTTCTCTGCAAGGGATCGTCAAGCCTCCCATTGGATGATCATACCCAAATTCTGCCTTAGCTTGGTTCAGCAATTCATGGAAGGAGGGCTGGTTCAAGTAAGCAATAGGAATCACATATCTTTTCCTGTCATTGTCACTTTCTCCAACATAAACAGCGCAACACCCCTTTGGAACATCAAATGAAGGAGCATTTCTTGAAGCGAAGGAATTAGCCCGCTTCAATAGTTGCTTAGGTTGAATAACACGGGAAAAGTGGATCGCCATTCCTATGAAAGATAATGAACTTTTAGCCTGGGATGAAAGGAAAAAGAGAGTACTAGAAATATGAAATATGTGTTGAAGAACTTGTGTGTGCCAAACTAGTAATAAGAAAGGGTTTATATAGATAGCAAATGAATCTCGGAGTTTGGTACAATGTAGCTATCTTGATGAGGCATGATCACATGGTTTTGCTTTCTAATGATAAAAAACTATGAAGTATGTCTTCTCTGTTGATGGCCCTACTGTGTCTAAATTTATTGGCTGGCTGTCTTGGCCAGCAACCACAAAATAATACTCCTTCGGTCTCATTTTAATATTACATGTATTTTGTTGAACCGAAATAGAACAAGACTATTAAATTGGGACGGAAGGAGTATCAGAAGTTTTATGGTAGGCTGCTCATAGCTAGATAGAGGAGGTCAGATGGATTAGTAGGTGATGGTTAACATATATCTCTTCACAAAGACAAGCAATTGCGTGATATCATTCTTGTTGGTTGATGGTTAACACATTAAGTGAAACTACGGAAGAAATGTTGGGTAGTTTATGCATTGTTATCATCTTTGTGCTAATTGATTTCTTCAAAATCAAATGAGTAACTGGTTTCATCATGTAAGTACTTCTTAATAGGGAGTGTCATGGAGCTTAAACAAAATAGTCCAATTGAATGGGAATTTATGATTATTTTTACCTTAAGATAAGCCAATAAGAGTGACTTGAGCTGCAAAAAGAATAAGGATGAAGGTGTTTGTGGATAACCTTTTTGATTCCTATCATCATCATAGATTTTTTGATGAGTAGTGACTCAAAACAAATACTGGATAACTGTAAAATTCATCAATAAGAGTTAACCAAATTATGTTTTCTGCAGTTTCCAATTAATGTTTTGCAAACAAAAAGATGTTACTTGATATATTTGAAAGGCGATAAATAGAAATGGAATGTGAATCAAGAATGATGTTTAACTTTCAATTAAGTAGTTGTAATTGAATTCTGTTGTAGTTAACAAAGGAGTGACTGTAGGTATGTACATATGCAGTATTCAGCTTACTTTTTCCCCCCAACTTATCTAAGTTACAAAAATTTGCTTCACTATACATCGCGAGTTACAGCGAAGTGATTCTAACGTATTGTATCTATACGAACTAATTTTCTTTCACAATCAAATCCGAAGTTAGATGGATGAACATTTCTTCTCTGCAGGGGATTGTCAAACCTCCCATTGGATGATCATAACCGAATTCTTCTTCAGCATGGCTTAACAACTCCCGAAATGATGGCTGGTTCAGGTATGCAATCGGGATCACATATCTTTTCTTCTCATAACTTTCTCCAACATAAACTGCGCAACAGCCCTTTGGAACATCTGCAGCAGTAGCATTGTTGGATTTGAAGGAATTAGCCCGCTTCAAGAGCTGCTTTGCTTGAACCATACGAGGCAAACGGATCACCATTTCTCTATACTATGTAAATTTTGAAAGGAAAACGTGGTCTGCTCCAAATGAAGATGAAATGTTTTCGATCAGTTGTGCTTGTTTGTGAAACAACTAGAGGTAAGGAACGCTTTATATAGAAGGACTAACCACTAGTTAGATATTCTCTGATGCAATGGAAAATTGACCCAATTTGTTATTAGATAGCTTTCTTTGATTAGGCCTGGCTACATGAAAATGATCATCACATGGTGCTGTCTATCCAGCTAATGAAAAAGCATATAAGAACCATGTATTTAGTAGATCAGATGATGCATGACCTACCATTTTCCTCAACAAAAAGCTGATGGGGCCCTTTTTGAAATTTTAAAGTGTGTCACAACTTGGGGAGATCTATAGGCGAAACGAAATCTGTTGGCCTAAAACAAGGATCTTTAAAGTGCCCATTTGATCAAATTCACAAAGACGTTATAACATGAAAATGGTGGGGGTAAACGTGTTAATGTGTATTGGATTATGCAGAACAAAACCATGTTTCAAAGGGTCTGCATTTGACAAGTTGGTAGGTCTCTTACTCATCCAAGTGTATGCAACTGAACAATTCAAAAGTCTTGCATTCTGGGTCGCTAACTTGGCATGTTCAAACACTAATCCGCTTTTACACAACAAATTGATATAAAAGTGTCATCAATAACTGATACCACATTGGCCTTAACATGTCATTTTCCACCGGAGAAAGTCTAGTTTGGATAGTTATTCGTCATCACAATCAAACAGATTAAGTGAGACCGTAAAAAAGAAAAAATTAGCATAAAAAATAGTTAAGACAGCCAGATGAAATAGCTTCTTTCAAGATGAACTGGGATTTCATTAATGATTATCTAAATGGTCTGAATTCTTTTTTTGTACAGTAAAGAGCTTGTGTTTTACTGATTTTGAATTGTGACAGGAATAACTGATCAAAACTCTTCGAGTAGAAGATAAAATAAAAAGAAGATCGAGAATTTTGTTTGATAACATTGTTGCTTGCTGCAATTAGGAAGCTCAATATAGCACCTGCAAATCGCTTTTACATGTATGAACTTCTTTGAAATACTAAACTCTTGTCATTTGTTAATGTTGAAGTATCTAGTCGCAGCCACATTAGCATTGACTGTACAGAAGTCTTGTGTACTTGCACGTATAGAAGCATGTCCAGGAGGAGCTATGAAGGATCCAAATGATCCAGAAGATTCAACAACTTTCTGACTGCTGCTCATAGCTTATTGATCACGTATAGGAGTTGCTAGAATAATGGACTGTCACCATAAGGTGATGACTGTATAGACGGATAGAACATAGGTTGTGATGTAAATAATATATGTTACAGGTGATTTTAGCAGAATGCAACCAACGCCAGATGCATATAAATAGGAGACTCATTGTACAGATAAGTTAAAGAGAAGTATTCAGCTCATTGTATCCTCTTTCAGTTGAGCATAAAATTTAAGGTTCTTATTTCAGTTTAATTCCTTTCTCTGCCTTGAGTTTGTTCTATTTTGATGATGATGTCTGACATTTAAGATGGTATCAGAGCAGGTCAATCATGTTCTGTTCCTGATCCTTGTGTCTTTCTTCCTTTCTTTTAAATTTCCTTATGCTTTATCCGCTTTATCAAACAATTGACATTTTCTTGAGAAGAATCAAAGACAATAACTGATGAGGAATGTTTGCAGTGACAGGTTGTGGAGGAATTTGAAGAACATCTGCAACTCCATGGATCAGATTATCCTAGTATGAAATTGGTTTCAAATTCATTGAATGATGACGAGTCCAAATAGTATGGCCCGTTACTAGGCCAGCCCAAGTTCGTCGAGCGGTCCAACCGGCCCCTGGAAGCTTCTAGGGCGGTTGTGAATTACTTTCCTACCAAGAAAAGGATCCATAATTTAGCTCTATAAATAGGGATCAATCCCTATTATAGAAGGTACGTTTTATGCACCCTATTTACACCCCTATCACAATTACTCTTACTGACTTAAGCATCGGAGAGTCTACTCTCGGGAGACCCCGAGGCTCTGTCTTGCAAGTTTTAGGGTTCCATAGCTGCCATGTCCGCCGGATTCAATCCACTGGAGAAGTCGGTACAAATCCATCCTTCGTCAAGTGGCACGCCCAGTGAGACCCGCAATTAGGGTTTCTCTTCGCAACCAATTTTCTTGCATAGAAGGAGTGGATAGAACGACAGCCTCCTTTTGATTGATTAAAAAACTATCGGCATTGAACATCCATAAAGCCTACCGAATTATGATGTTCATGATCCCTTCAACAGACGATCTTGTCATGAAGGCAAAAAGCCACGTCTTCTTCCAATCGTAGTAATCGAGGGCGGAAAACATCCTCCCGAGGTTTTAATATGGCACCAATTTGGCCGAATCATGCCCAGGTTTTATCTACAAATTACATCAACTTTGACTTACAATGGCTGCATGTCCTAGGGAACTACGCGTAAGCTTAACTGGTCATGCTTTAATAGATCTTATTTAATTAATCAAGAATCAAGTCACTATACAAGAAAGAGCATGCTTGGTTCTTTCTTCGTATTTATTTTTGGTGACAGATTCATGAAAAATTGATATTTTTCAAAGACTACACATGCTTTTTGAGATTTTGAGCATCACAAATATCTTGGGAACAAGCTGTCCGCTTGTCAAGGCAGCGACGCAATCAGGTTTGTCATGACCACATCTTCGATTTGTTACAAACTATCCAGTCGCCTTTTGTCTTTTTGGATCAATAACTTGATTTGGCCATTATATGTTTTCTGCGATATCTATTAGCTAGGCAAAGGACTTAGAACGATAGTTTTTGCTAATCCATATATGGCATGAGATATGATATCTAGCTTTCAAATTAATCCGGCATCTGAATTAATTGTTTATGCATGATGGTCCATAACTTATCACTCAAGGACATCCCATTTAAAATCCCAATGCACATGTGAAACCTTTTAGACTTGAAGGTGATTATTTTTTTTATCAACTCTTGGGATTTATGAAAGCTTGATTTGGCCCTAGTTTACTTAATCACTTAAGTGATGTTAGTTCACGCCAGAAGTTATAAGTCATGGCTCCAATTATCTAAAAGCAAGATTCAATATTATAGCGTCAATATTTGATACTCATGACATTGTCCTGTCTACATTATTTCTTTATAAGCCAACCATGGCTTCAGTACAATTTTGTAGTGATCAAAGTTATAACACTATCTCGCCTTGCTCCTCGAGATCATATAATCTGGTTTTGCTACTACTAATTCTGTACTCGAGTTCTTTTGATAAAAGGCAGATACAACCTTCAACCTTTGAGGTTCGAAGCCGTGCAACAAATAACACCATGGATTAAGATATCGTCAAAATTGGCAGTCGTTGACTTCTTGTATCAATGTTAGCCAATCCACAAATAGGCCGATGAAGAGGAATTTTTGACTCAAAGTTGATAAGGAAGAAACGGGTCGAGCAGTTCCTCGAAGTTAATGATCAAGTAACAGCAGCACTTGAGTGGCAGTGGCAAAAATTCACGCCCGGTCGAGGAAGACTTGATATATTTCACAGTCTTATAATTTATTCCCTATTTATTCTATTTATTATGATCTTCTCTTTGGAGGTTGTATAATTTTACAGATTAACCCTTTTCAAAGGAAGCGGCAATATGAGGCAGATGTCAAAAGACATATCTCTTCGAAGGACTCCCTTGGGATTTGAATACAGTCACTGATTGCCATTTGGAAGTACAGGCTGGAACACCACTTCTTACATAATTACATGAGGCAGAGGCTTTAATGACAGATAAGTTATCATAGCCTTTCATTACAAATAAGTTGCTTTTCTACATCATTGCCTTCCAAACATGTCTTAGGTATCATTCTGCATAACGACAAATATTGGGCCTCCTTAAAACCAGTTGTTGCCACAATATTATAATAATGGCCTGTCAATCGTATGTTACATGATAAACTTATATGAATCATTTTCTTTCTGCCATCATAGCAAACATAAAGATCCTTGAAAAATATTTCAATAACACTTACAAATTGCAAGGCATGCATGATACTACTTGCCATATTTCTATCTGAAAGTGAAATTCACTTACTTGTTTGTTACTCACTAATTCAACTATAAATATATGAGTAAGTGTTTTTTCAGGATCAGAGACCAGGTTGGTTAATCATGGTGTCTATGCTTGAGAAGCATCCCCATAAGATTAATGTGTCCTTGGTAGTTATCATCGAAGAGTTCAGGAAAATACTCCCTCGACACTAAGGTACACCCAAATGATCCCTTCAACAATGCATCCTCGATCGAGGAGCCAATGTATATATTATCAAGCTCCGAGAGCCCTTATGACCTTATTAGATGAAGGTACACACTATCTTTCAGCTGACATGTCATTTTTGAATTTGCAATACATGTCTCGGACTAAGTTGCAGGATAAACATACCCCAAGAACTCTGGGGCAACATAAGCAGAGATACGTAACTCTTACAGTTGATCCCTCGAGGACATCAGCAACATCAAGTTCGCTCTAATCTTAGAGTGTTCATACTTTAAACCCAGGATATAGACCATTGGTCTAATGCACATAGTGGTAGCCCACTCGAGTACTCATGGGAGCTGGCGTATCACATATACCCAGTTACACCCAGTTAAACATGACTAGCCATTTGAACGGACATCCTGTTCAGGACCGTTCTCGAAAGTGCCGTGTATTCAACATCCGGACATTCATTGGGTCATGCTACCCTTAACTGTTACGACTAATAGTCTGAATTCCAGGAGCTCGTACCCAGCCTCCTCGAGGATATCCTCTTCAGGATCGTCCTTAAAAAGGCATTCTCTTCAGAATCGTCTATACAAAGGTATCCTCTTCAGGATCGCCTGCAAAAGAGCCGTGTACTTAACATCTGGCCATTATAAACGCTGTACAAATAACTCATAAGCCGTGTACTCGACATCCGGTATTGAGAAATGCCTAGATTTTCATGATCATGAACAATGGGTGGACTATCCCTTGAAACTAAACACGTGTTTTACACCTCAATGAGAACTAGACTTGTTCTCGAGTAAGCTCTATTGGATCGATCAACTATATCATCCAATGCAAATGACTTTATTCTCGATATTCTCGAGTTTACTTTGCGCCTTGTCAACACAGGCCTACTTCTTCGATTATGGTGGTTGTCATCTATCCCCTTCTGATAGACACCATTCTATTGCCTTAACCCTACGAGTATGGGGGCTTCTTGTGTAGGCATCACCTCGAACCAAGCAGAAAAAATTACACTCTCATACTATTCTTATCTAAAAAGTCTCG